TCCCTTAGTCTGAGAAATTGATGAGTCTTGATAGCTTTCGTCAGAACATCTGCCAACTGCTTCTGAGTGCTGCAGTGTACAACTTCTAACATTCCACTCTGAACTTGATGTCTCAGAAAATGATATTTGGTCTCAATATGCTTGCTTCTCCCATGCAACACTGGGTTTCTGGGAAGATTGATTGCAGACTTGTTGTCAATCATCAACTTCAGAGGTTTGTTTACTTTAATCTTCAGATCCTGCAACAGATTCAGAATCCACACAGCTTGGCATGCAGTAACAGCACCTGCAATGTATTTAGCTTCACAGGTTGACAACGCCACAACAGGTTGCTTCTTGGAACACCAAGAAATGGAACCTCCCAGAAATTTGAACAAGTACCCAGATGTACTTCTTCTGTCAACTCTGTCTCCACACCAATCAGAGTCTGAATAACTCAGAAGTTCTGACTCATTATTTCCTCCAGAGGGAAATAACACTCCATACTTCAGAGTTCCTTTGATATACCTCAGAATCCTGACAGCAGCTTGGTAATGGGACCACTTAGGTTTACTCATGAACCTACTAACCATCCCAACTGAGTAGCAAATATCAGGTCTGGTATTGCACAGATACCTCAGAGAACCAACCAACTGTTTGAAGGTTGTAGCGTCCACATCCTTTCCTTCAGAGTCTGAATCCAGTTTCTGATTTGTATCAGAAGGTGTGACAGCCATCTTACAATTCTTCAGATCAAATCTCTTCAGAAGTTCTAATTCATACTTGAGCTGATGCAAAATGATACCTTTCTCAGAATATCTGAACTCCATCCCTAGAAAGTATGTCATTTTGCCTAGATCAGTCATTTCAAATTCATTCATTAGAACCTTCTTGAACTTGGCTACCTCCTGTTCAGAACTTCCAGTCAGCAGTATATCATCAACATATAAACATACCAGAGTCATATTGCCTTCAGAAGTATGCTGAACATAGACACCGTACTCCATCTCACATTTCTGAAAGCCTTACTTCTTGAAAAATGAATCGATCTTCTGATTCCAAGCTTTGGGCGCTTGTTTCAATCCATATAAAGCTTTGTATAATCTGTACACCATCCCTTCCTGATTATTTTTCACAAATCCAGGAGGTTGTGACACGTAAACTTCTTCTTCTAATGGACCGTTCAGAAATGCAGATTTTACATCTAAATGCATCATAGGCCAATTCCTGTTAGCAGCTGTTGCAATCATCATTCTGATTGTTTCATGTCTTGCTACAGGTGCAAACACTTCAGAGTAATCCAGCCCAGGTTTTTGTAGAAATCCTCTGGCTACCAACCTTGCTTTATGTTTGCCAATTGAGCCATCTGGCTTTAACTTCTGCTTGAAAACCCATCTGACGCTGATGGCTTTCTTGTCTTTTGGAAGTTCTATCAGCTTCCAAGTTTTGTTTCTCTTTATAGCATCAAGTTCCTCTTTCATGGCCTTCAGCCAGAGCTTCTGCTTAAGAGCCTCCTCTGTACTTATAGGTTCAGAGTCTACTAACATGGCACACTGAATAACTTCTCCTTCAGAGTCTACTTCAGTGTCTTGCAGCATGTCAAATTCTGCAAATCTTCTGGGAACGCTTCTGATTCTTTGTGGTCTCTGAACTTGTTCAGAGTCTTGAGCTTCAGAGTTTCCAGCTTTAGATGGTTGACTTCCTCTAGAGCTTTGACCATCTTCAAGATCTGGCATATTTTCAGAGTTTTGGCCATCTTCAGAGTCTGAATTTCCACCAAAAACTGGATTACCATCAGAGTCTGGATCATCAGAGTCACCTTCATCTTCTGAGTCTTCTCCAGAGTCAGAATCACTATCAGAGTCAGAATGAACGTCAGAGTTTACTTCAACTTCAGAAATTCTTAACTCTGACCTTTCTTCAGAAGTTCTAACATCAGAATCAGATTGAGACTTATCCCAATTCCAAACTTCTGATTCCTTCACAATCACATCTCTGCTGAATTCAATTTTATTGGTTTCTGGACAATAGAGCTTGTATGCACCTGTACTGTGGTACCCTATCAGAATCATCATTTTGCTTCTATCATCCAGCTTCTGTCTTCTGGCTTCTGGAACATGTTTATAGCAAACAGAACCAAACACCTTCAGATGATTAACACTTTGCTTGTCTCCAGTCCACTTCTGCATAGAAACTATTTCTTTCAACTTCTTCGTAGGACATCTGTTGAGTACATACGTTGCAGTGGCAACAGCTTCTCCCCAGAGCTTCTGAGGAAGCTTCTTCTCCTTTAGCATGCTTCTCACCATATCGAGAAAAATGCGGTTTCTTCTTTCAGCAAGACCATTGTGTTGAGGGGTATAAGGAGCACTAACCTCATGCTCAATTCCATTCTCCTCACAGAACTTCTGGAACTCTTTGGAGTTATACTCACCTCCACCGTCAGTTCTAAGAATCTTCAGCTTCTGACCACTCTGATTCTCAGCCTTCATTCTGAATTTCTTGAATTCATCAAACACCTCGTGTTTGAACTTAATAAGGGATACCCATGTCATTCTTGTGAATTCATCAACAAATAACACAAAGTATTTATTCCCTCCAATTGATGCTACTGGAAATGGACCACACACATCAGAATGTACAACTCCCAAGGCATGTTTTGCTCTTGGAGCAACTTCTGACGCAAATGGCAAACGTGGTTGTTTTCCTTCCATGCAAACTTTGCATGACTTTTCAGGCTTCTTAATTGCAGGAATTCCATGTACCAGCTTCTTTGAATTCAGATATTTTAGGCTTCTGAAATTCAAATGACCAAATCTTTTGTGCCACAACTCACTCTCCTTCTCAGCACATGTTGCACTAAGACATTCTGAGTCTGCAGTTCTGACATTCACCTTGAATGTTCTATTCCTTCCCTGTTCTGACTCCATAATCAACTTCTGATTGTAGTCATACAGCTTCAGAAGATTGTCCTTCATGGTAACTGAAAAACCTTTCTCAATTAATTGTCCCACACTCATCAGATTGCTTATGATGCCAGGTACATACCACACGTTCTGAATCAATGTTGTTTTCCCATTGTTCAGAGTCACTCTGACATTTTCCATACCTTCTGCATTAAGATATTTGTCATCAGCACATCTGATCTTTGTCCTCTTTTCAGAGTCAAAGTCAACCAGCCATTTCTTGTTTCCAGTAAGATGATTTGAACAGCCAGTGTCCATATACCACCAGTCTGTCAGATCCATATCATCGGATTCAGAGGCCATCAATAGCACAGATTCGTCATCAGAACTTCTGGCTATATTTGCTTCTTCTGATTTCTTCTCCTTGTTTGACCAACAATCTCTAGCAAAGTGACCAAACTTCTTACAACAGTAACATTGGATCTTCTTCTTGTCATACTTCTCTTTTCCCTTCTGAGCATTCTTTTGCCTATCAGAGATTGAGCTTTCTGACTTCTGACCACCATCAGATCTTCTCTTGGCTTCTGACTGCTTCTGATACCTCCTATCAGAAGTTGCTTTCAGAGCCTGCTGCTCTACTTCCCTTTCAGAAGTTCTCTCAGTCAAACGCAACTCTTGCGCTTCTAAACTGCTCTGCAGCTCTTCAATTCTCATGGTACTCAGATCTTTGGAATGTTCTATTGCTACCACAGTGTAATCAAATTGAGAGGTAAGGGATCTCAATACCTTCTCCATGATCGTTTCTTCAGAAAGAGTTTCTCCACACGCCTTCATCTCATTAGTGATCAGAATCACTCTGGAGATGTATTCAGAAACTTTCTCATTATTCTTCATGTTGAGATTCTCATATTGCTTTCTCAAGGACTGAAGTTTCACCTTCTTCACTGATGTGTCACCACCATAACATCTAACCAGTGTGTCCCACGCAGCCTTTGCTGTCATTGAATCTGCAATCTTCTCAAACACATTTACATCAACACATTGATGAATAAAGAATAATGCTTTCTGATCCTTCTTCCTTACTTCCTTCTGCGCGTTTTTCTGTTCATCCGTTGCATCTGCTGCTACCGGAACATAACCATCAGTGACAAGATCTAAAACATCCTGAGCACCAAACAGTACACGCATTTGGATCATCCAACGATTCCAGTTTTTACCGTCAAATACTGGAAGCTTGGTGTTCATGTTGTCGTTTCCGTTCATCTTCACCTTGCACAATACACTCAGATTTCTCACAGTGTTTCCCAACCCACAGAATAAAATTCTGATCAGATTTTGTTCAAGATTCAACACGAATCTAAGGATCAAAATCAAACACACAAGACCTCACGTTCACTCGTGTTTCCCGTGTTTCCCAATGAATTCGAACCGGAACTCTAGATACCAATTGTTGGTGCAAAGGTGAATAAATGATGAACAAAGGAAATATTCTATTAAGAATGACGGCTACAAAAACATGATAATAGTTACAATGATTGTCACCCTATTTATAAGTTAAAACTATGGTTACTAGAATAAGATAAAATACTAAAATACTCTCTAACAAACTTAGGGGCTAAGAAAATAGTACAACTAAATAAATATGAATTACTATTAATATTCTAATAGTAAAAAGAGCGATCAACTGCAACCCAGTGATTTCTTCTAACATTTTTCAAAGCCGATTTTTAAATCAAAATACAATACAATGTTTTTATCGTTTCTGTTAATTCAGTTTATGTAAGATTAAGATCGATTTGATTAACAGGATTTTCTAACACTCAAGGAACCAAGCCTTTAACACGAATAGTGCTTAAAAATATAGGCTTCAACACACTTTCAGAAATTTATAAGGCACTTTTTAACAACAATTTTCTGTCAAAAAATAAAATATAAAAACAACAATTAAGACACGCAGAAAAGTAGGATCTAATACTCCCATAGCAACACAAGCTAAGTGTCCTAAATGTTAAACCCAGAAAAAGGAAATGAGGTTGAGGGAGAAAAACACCACATTAGTTATCACAACAAAACACAAACAAAACACACTGTTCGAAATACTATTGTTTAAGCCTCCTACTCCTCCTCCTCCTGAACTTCCTCTTCATATTCATAACCATCCTCTTCGTCCGCAGTAGCATCTTGGTACTGCTGGTACTCGGAAACAAGGTCATTCATGTTACTCTCAGCTTCAGTGAACTCCATCTCATCCATACCCTCTCCAGTGTACCAATGCAAGAAAGCTTTTCTTCGGAACATAGCCGTGAATTGCTCACTCACCCTCCTAAACATCTCTTGAATAGATGTTGAGTTGCCAATGAACGTAGATGCCATTTTAAGACCTGTTGGAGGGATATCACAGACGGTTGATTTTACATTGTTGGGAATCCATTCAACAAAATACGATGAATTCTTGTTCTGAACATTGATCATCTGCTCATCAACCTCCTTGGTGCTCATCTTACCACGGAACATGGCAGATGCTGTCAAGTAACGCCCATGGCGAGGATCAGCAGCACACATCATGTTCTTGGAATCCCACATCTGTTGGGTCAGCTCAGGTACAGTGAGAGCCCTGTACTGCTGTGAGCCACGAGAAGTGAGTGGGGCAAAACCCACCATAAAGAAATGCAAACGAGGGAAAGGAATTAGATTCACTGCCAGTTTGCGAAGATCTGAGTTCAATTGACCAGGGAATCGAAGACAACATGTAACACCACTCATTGTTGCTGAAATTAGATGGTTCAGATCTCCAACTGCAACAAAACAACAAAATTCCCAAATTCAGATTTCACAGATTATACATACATATGAATAAACTACAACACAAAGCAATGCAGCAGAAACATAGGATGGTGATGAACTCACAGCTTGGAGTGGTGAGTTTAAGGGTGCGGAAACAAATGTCATAGAGAGCTTCATTGTCCAAAACCATACATTCATCTGCGTTCTCAACAAGTTGGTGGACAGAGAGTGTGGCATTGTAAGGTTCAACAACTGTATCAGATACCTTAGGAGATGGGAATACGGAGAAAGTAAGCATCATTCGATCAGGGTATTCTTCTCTGATCTTGGAAATCAAAAGTGTACCCATTCCAGAACCAGTTCCACCACCAAGGGAGTGGCAAACCTGAAACCCTGAAAAGATTCTGAAACCATGTTAGCACCCTAAATTCAAGTAAACAAATCAGAGAAGAATACCAATTAATATTCAAATGCATAAACGTCCTAGTTATATCACAACTACTATATCTACATAAAGAAACTAATCTATCACAGTGCATATGAAAGTCATATCCTGTTCTCACATACTAATATAGAGTTGCGAGTAATTCAAACACAGTGAAAAATTATAACATCATTACATACAATTTACACAATTGAGCTAAGCACGGACACCATGAACCCGTCACTGACGGTAACACTTCACGCCACAAATAATTTGCAAAAAATTGAATGAATCAAACCTAATTACAAGTGTGTTCGACCTAAGGAGGTGTCAAGCTTATTGCCATAACAATTCAAATAAAAATTGAGCTAAACACACATAATTTCTATATAAAGATTATATTTTCTACAATTTAGCCTCATTCATAATTAGCAATAAAATATTTTAAATAATTACACACTGAATTGTTACATAAACACAATTATGAAAATTATCAATAACTAATTGAAAAATGTAGAAGAATCAAGCAATATTACAACGGTAAAACAAACACTAGAAAATTGATGAGAAAAATTATCAAACTATGTAAAACAAAAACCGCAAAATTCCGAATGAAAAAATAAACATAAACGATCAAAATCAGCTGTAAAAGGAAATTGGAAGAAATAATACCTTGAAGGCAATCACAATTCTCTGCCTCCTTCCTCACAACATCAAGGACCGAGTCAATCAACTCAGCTCCCTCGGTATAGTGACCTTTCGCCCAGTTATTTCCGGCACCGGACTGTCCAAAAACAAAATTATCCGGCCGGAAAATCTGTCCATACGGACCAGATCTGACACTGTCCATGGTGCCTGGCTCCAGATCCATGAGCACGGCTCGAGGTACGAATCTTCCACAGCTCGCTTCATTGTAGTACACGTTAACTCGCTCGAGTTGCATTTCAGTGTTCCCTTGGTACCTTCCGGTGGAGTCGATCCCGTGCTCCGCGCACACAACCTCCCAAAACTTGGCTCCGATTTGGTTCCCGCATTGTCCTCCCTGGATGTGGAGAATCTCACGCATCTTGAGTACTGAGTTAGAAGAACGAATTTAGAGTGAGAAAGTAACTGAAGAAAGTTCTAGAGCGAGAAATGAACAGTTCAAGGAGTAATGTTTAGCTAGTTCTATGCGATATGATCAAAGAAGAAAGAGTTTTATAGCGGGTAATTGACGGCGTTAAGTGGAGCTCGGTAGTTTAGACGGTACCGTTAGATTTAAGTGGGAATTTTGAAAAGCTAACGGAAATTTTGAATTTGATAAAGGAAGGATTAATCATGTGCAGTCTTGCTTATTTGTTTTCGGTATCAGGTTTACACGTGGACGGTTTCGATTCGAGTTTTCGGAATGATAAAACGGTGTCGTTGGTTACAGGCGAGTGAAGAAGACGCGCTTCTTGAATATGCATGTGAAATTTATGATCCAGCAAGTGTTTTTTTTTGCTTTGGGCCGCAGAGCACGTGAAAAGCTAGCTGCACGTGATTGCGGGCTGGATCATATCATGTGATCAAAGCTGCACTTCTATTCTACAATGCTTCTAGGGAAAGCATCATGACTATGGATTCCACAATCACAAAACGGTTATGCCTGTCTAGTAAAAAATTAGCAAAAACACCAAGCAAATGTGAGGTGGATAAAATTGAGAATACGGATCTAAAATTTTGATCTGTCATGCCAAATTGCGAGAATGGATTGACGAGCAAGCAGACATTGTACTTTTTAAGATTAAAGAAACAAAATTTTACTTGAAAAAAATAAGGTGGAATGAATACATTAGAGTATATAAATTTAACTTTTTATCATCTCATAAAAAATGGATAAAACTGATATCTTCGACAGTATATTTTGTCATTCTAACAATTTTGTTGTATCTAATCAAAAACCAAATGTATAATATTTTAAGTTAAATTTTAATAATAAATAAAAATTATATTTAAATCTATATAGTTTGATTCAGACTTAAAATGTGTGAATGTCGGAAATTATGGCAGCAATGAATTTAAATTTCATGACTATGTTTTCATGTGGTAGATAGATGGATCCATTTTTCCTATCTAATATTTGTCAACTATAATTTATTGATAATATTTATAATAATTAGGAAGTTAAATATAAAGACAAATGTGAGAATTATTATTTTTCTATACGAAGTAACTACTAAAACGGTCCTTAAAATGAACCATATATGTATATTTGGATTTTGGATATATACTTTACAATAATGTCCTTGTTTTCTTTGAGTGTGGTCCATCAATGGAGTTATTGCACTCAATATTCCACCCTGGTTCGCAAACTTTTCTTTCACTCCAGCCAAAGATTGATGGTGGAACCCATTAAGAAAGACACCTATAAAACATTGTAGGGTCCTTCTTCAATTCAATGGACAAGTATAGAAGCAAAGAAGTCATATTCCAATTAAGAGCAGAGGTATGGATCACAAAAACCCTTCATGACAAAGTTATCATCTTCTTTCACTGTTTTCTTTATGGATCCAATGTCCAACTATAAAATAATCATCATTATAAAATGAATTGGTGTACTTTAAGACATTCTTTATGCTACCAAGTGGCTTAGTTAAGCTTTCATTGTAATAATTTATATTAATAATGATTTTATAATTATGTTTGCTAGTACATGTCCAAGCGAATGCAGGGACTCGTAAATGAATATGAATCTAGGTGTACTTTCTCATCAACAAACAAAAAAGTATGTCATATATACTTGAATAACAAGCAATGTTGCCGCATGAGATCAAGCATAATAGCACATATGAGGTCTCTCTATTTGCAAACAACTTTTATGAATGGATAATCACATCTTACCATAGGTAATTGTTTGGATGTTTTATTTTCAAAAAAAAAAAATTGTTTTTCTTTTCATCCTTAGCGCCTCGGTATAGAGAACTCTAATATTTACGGATAGAGACTTAAAATTATTAATTAGCTTTGTCTTGATTAGCCTAATAGCTCTGATTGATGAACTATTGATAAAGGTTTGTTGTATATCAACTATTATTGACTACCAGAGATGGCTTTATTGTCATTTCTTTCTTCGCCGATCCGCCTCCCACTTAGAGCATGGAAGGGGAGAAGGAAGAAATCTTACCTGCGTAAGCCTTAGGCCTTAAGGGAGTCACCTTTCGATCTGGATTCAATGATTAAGGAGTTTGAGTGAACACCCGGTGAAATGGATTTAGGAAAGCACGTGCCTTCTCGAGCCTTTTTAGACGAAGTAAAGGGAAAGTAAGGATCAATAAGAAAAGAATAGGCATTGAATGCCCTCTTTTAAAGGAAATAATACGTTCTTGTCGCAATTGAATCAATAGTTAACCCAAACACATAATAGGCAGCTTGAAAAGAAGCTTTAAGCCTTGACGCTCTTGATGGCATTACTGCTGCTAGAAAGATATTTTTTTAATAATTTGGATATTTGGTTGTGTGGAAATATATGTTAGTTTTGCTATGCATAGCCGATCTTGCGAATGGATAAATGAAGAGGATTGTGTCAGAATTCGGCAGTTAACGTAAAATTTTATTGAATCTCTATGATATGGATCAAATATGTAATGATATGACTAATGTCAATCTGTTGCACCGAAGTAATGCACTGTATGACTCGAGTACAGTGTCAAATGAGAATGGGTTGATATATCATTGTTTAGATGCAGTGAAAAATAAGTAAGGGTTCTCACATTTTTGTGAATGAGTACGGATAAATAAGTTAGTTCATGAGAGTATAATTTGTTTGAAATATGAAATGTGGGCACGCTTACACGAAAATCTATGGAAATAACGGTCATTATAGTTATAAGGAAGATCAATTTTATGTGCATATGAGAAGGTAAGTGGACGGGTGAAAAGATAACATAATTAGACATCTAATAATTTAAGCTTTGGTATGTCGGCAAAGTTCGATACATAAATGGAGTGAGAATTAGTGTATATAATGAGTGGAAGAATGGCACCTTTAATTTTATTAGTACTTATGCAGCTCACGTTGAGTTAGTAGAGCACCTTAAAATAGTTTTTTTTTTAGGACTTAGAAGGCCTATTTCAAAGATATATCACAAAAAGAAAAAAAAAATTTTAGGAATGGGTCTAAATGGGCATGCAAGCAGTATATTGAGAGGTTTCAAGGGTATCGGGAGGAAATGTGAGGGAGAGGGGGTAAATTCATCCTAGATTTTATGTCTGCTTTTTATCTTACTATACTAAAGTAACATGTTCTTAGATTAGTTTCTTTTTTATTAGGAAATTAGTTAAGAAGATTTGCTTGGATTTAATGTTATACTTAGAGAAAGCTTGACTACCCAACATAGAACATCTTATAATATATGAGTCAAGAGGATAATGGATACAAAAAGTGACGGGGATATTCCATGGATCAAGTGATAGAATTTGAAGAGTGAAAAATAAAGGAGTTTTAGAAATAAAACTCCAAGAAAGTGCAAATGATATGTGGAATAAAGGAAATTTATTTATTAGTATATGTTTATGCAAGCATGGATCTATCACTTTTTTCAAGCATTGATGAACTAGAGTTTGTCTTGGAGTACACAGAGACTAAGTCTTGTGTCAATGTCTTCACTCCAATTAAGAGGCATCCTACCATAAATCCACATCAAGAGGGTCTAGATTGCCTACTATCACAAGATCTGGTATTCGAGAATCAAACCCATCATCGAGTCACAAGCGTGTTGGATAATGTCTACTTCTTTTTTCAGTTTGATCAAAAGTGACACATGTAAGATCAATTACCCGCCTAAGTGAGATGTGTGTTAGTTTGGGTAAATTTAGGATATTTGTAGACATTTTATTTCCTCTGCTCAAACAATTATAATTTATTTTTATATTTGATCAAAGGCATGTTGAATACTTGGACTATATTTTATCATTTAAGGAGTGAGGCACCTAGATTGTGCATGGTTGTAAAATTGTATAAGAATGCATTATGTGGTATTAAAGGATATCACATCCCTACTTGAGTCTCCCGTTATAGGAACATCCATTTATAGTCAGTGGAGGGTGACAATTCGAAATTCATTACCGCCAACCAAGTGAAAGTATCTTTGAAAGAGGATACTCAAGTGTATATGTTGTTAGCTTCCCTGAAAGTAGAGAGTAAAGCTTCAGTTGAGGACCTACCAGTAATGTGTGATTTTTCGAAAGTATTTTCGAAGGACATCTATGTTTGCCACCTGAGCATGAAGTTGGGTTTTCTATAGATTTAGTACCTGGTACTAGACCTATATCGATGGCACTGTATAGAATGTTTGCACTTGAGCTGAGTGAGCTCATAAAGCAGTTGGAGGAACTTTTGGAAAAGTTGCTTGTAAGGCCTATCGCCAATAGGGTGCCCCTATATTTTTAGTAAAGAAGAAAGATGGGACTATGAGATTGTTTATGGATTACCGACAGTTGAACAAGGTTACTGTTAAGAATCGGTATCATTTCCATATAATTGATAATCTTATATATCAATTGGTTGGAGCTTGTATGTTTAGTAAGATTGATTTAAGGTCAGGCTACCATCAAATTCAAGTGAAGTCTGAAGATATACCTAAGATGGCGTTCAAGACTCGTTATGGTCATTACGAGTATTCGGTAATGCATTTTGGTGCGACCAATGTGCCATAAGTGTTCATGGAGTATAAACAGGATTTTCAACCCCTATTTGGATTAGCTCGTAGTGGTGTTTATATATGATATCTTGGTATATTCTAAGTCACAAGAAGAGCATGTAGAGTATCTGACAATAGTTTTGCAAACTTTGAAGGATAAGAAATTATATGCTAAGTTGTCCAAGTGTAAGTTTTGGTTGAAAGAAGACAGCTTTCTTGGACATGTAATTTCTAGTGGAGGAATAATAGTGGATCCGTCTAAAATAGATGTCATGTTGCAATGGGAAACACCTAAGTCGGTGACAGATATCAGAAGTTTTCTAGGATTAGCCGGTTATTATAGGATATTTATCAAAGGATTTTCGAAGTTAGAAGTGACTCTGACCCAGTTGGCCTGAAAAGATAA